CTCACTCCGAACAGCAAGCTATAAAGGGCCCCAAAAATTGCTAGTGTAAAACCATTTAATCTGGAAAACCAACGGTCTAATCTATATAAAAAACGAGAAACGAGAAACACTTATGAACCACATCAACAAACGACAACTACTGAACATCAGATTCCTGACTTAGGACATGTGAAAACAATTGCAGCGGGTTTAAACGTTTTAATGGTACCAAACGTTCACCCTTATCTGAAACAATAGTGTAACATCACAACATAGAAAGACACACTATAAAATATCAATTGAAATTGCTTAACTCAATCAAAAGACACATTAACACCAGTGAACATACACTGAACAAATAAATTTGATCTATGATACAATGTAAATACAAAGTAAATAAATAAACATGTTTAACCCCACCACATTCTTTGTGCGCTTTTTTCAAAGTCTGGAGTACGTATTCCAGTGGTTGTCTTTTGTCGTTTGCCTTTATTGTTTTGAGTTTAATGTTATAACCCTAAATCAGGATGGTACTTTTCCAATTTGAATTAATTCACATTTTGTTATCCATGTGACCAAGGATTTGCAAATCCTTGATGTGACTGATAGCTTACAATACAGTTTACCAAAATGAGTACAATTGTACGAAACGCAATATGTCGACTTATAAAAATAACTTCAAGAAATATCTAAATGAACTGTGAAAAAAGAAGTCAACTGCTTAACTCAAAAGTAAAATCACAAAAATACTGAATTCCGAGGAAATTCAAAAAGGAAAGTCCCTAATCAAATGGCAAAATCAAAAGCTCAAACACATCAAACGAATGGATAACAACTGTCATATTCCTGACTTGGTACAGGCATTTTCTTATGTAGAAAATGGTGGATTGAACCTGGTTTTATAGCTAGCTAAACCTCTCACTTGCATGACAGTCGCATCAAATTCCATTATATTGACAACGATGCGTGAACAAAACAAACACAAAAAGGTAAAAATGTCAAAAGTAGGGGTACAGCAGTCAACATTGTGTTATCATCTTAATCACTATAAAACAAACAAATGTAACCAAGAAGCACAAAAAGGCATACATCAAATTAAACATCCTCATTTTGCTTTTTTATTTATACGATTTTATTTATCTATGTAAAATCCACCCATAAAGGATGGAAGGTTTTAAGTACTGGCGTAAAATCGCGCGTTTGAAATTCGCACAGGTAGACATAAAATAATTTTGTCGTTCAAAGTATGACGGGATACATAAGTACAGAGTCACGTAAAATGGATATCACAAAAAACAGACTTCACAGTAAAAGGAATTTTGTTCATCGAACTCTCTTTATTTCCTTTTTTTTAATCTATTGTGGTGTTTTTATTAAATTAATATTCCTTAAATATTTCAAATTGTTTTTAATAATTTAATGTGTTCTTGATCCCATTTATACGATCTTACAATCGTATGAAAAGGAGAAAGAACACAACAATTAAATGAAAATAAGTTGAAATTAGAAGGAATTTTGTTTCTAAAATAATAATTTTATTACTAAGAAAAAAAAAAAGGTCATACCCAAAACGCCTATGGTTTCACTTTGTAATACGGACGAAAAAATCGACAAGATAAAACACTCTAAATTTATTCTAGCGAAAGCAAGATAACAGATACACCAAGATTCAGACAATATGTAAAGATAAAATTGAGAATGGAAATGGGGAATGTGTCAAAGAGACAACAACCCGACCAAAGAGCAGAAAACATCCGAAGGCCACCAATGGGTCTTAAACACAAGGAGAGAATCCCGCACTCTGAGGCGGTCTTCAGCTGGCCCCTAAACAAAAATGTGAACTAGTTCAATGAAAATAGACGTCACACTAAACTCCAAAACATATAAATGAACTAAAATTAAAAGCATACAAGACTAACAAAGGCCAGAGGCTCCTGACTTGGGACAGGCGCAAAAATGTGGCGGGGTTAAACATGTTTTGTGAGATCTCAACCCTCCTCCTATACCTCTAGCCAATGTAGAATAAACAAACACACAGCAATACGCACAGTAAAAATCAGTTTAAAAGAAGTCCGAGTCAAATGTCAGAATAAGTAACAAAAGAAACTAAGCAAAATGACAATGATACATAAATTAATAAAGGACTACTAACAGTTACTGCCATGCCAGCTCCAGACCTCAATTAAACTGATTGAAAGATTATGTCTTCATCATACGAAAATCATGCACAATCCCTCCCGTTAGGGGTTTAGTATCATACCATCATAAAATATATGAGAAGAACATAACCCGTATCATGCCAAAAACTGGTTTTAGAATAAATGTGTTTATTTCCGATGCAAAGACCCTATGAGTGAATCAATATTAATACCAAAAATATGCCATCTTTAATAACCTGACAACAGTATCGTAACTATATCCCTTTTGAATAAGTCTGTTTAAATGTTTGGTTAGCTTTTGAGGTGAATGTCGACATGTTTGTGCTTTGTATAGAATATTACCATAAAAGATTTAATGTGAAATACCTGAACTTATAAGATGTCTGCATGTTGATTTATATTTACGAATGATGTACTTGTACCAAATTGGATGATAAAATTTAGTAAATGTTTTGACTAGTTTGTGATATCGAAAACCCTGGTGTAATAATTTTTCAGTAATACAAAGGTTTCTTTTGTTAAAATCAAATACGTTGTTACATACACGAGCGAATCGAACAAGTTGAGATATATAAACACCATAAATGAATCCACTTCAATTGATATTTTATAGTGTGTCTTTCTATGTTGTGATGTTACACTATTGTTTCAGGTATGGTGAAGGTTGGCGCCTATTAAAACGTTTAAACCCGCGGCGTATGTTTGCACTTGTCCTAAGTCAGAAACCTGATGTTCAGTGGTTGTCGTTTGTTGATGTGGTTTATAAGTGTTTCTCGTTTCTTGTTTTTTATATAGATTATACCGTTGGTTTTCCTGTTTGAATGGTTTTACACTAGTCATTTTTGGGGTCCTTTATAGCTTGCTGTTCGGTGTGAGCCAAGGCTCCGTGTTGAAGGTCGTACTTTGACCTATAATGGTTTACTTTTATAAATTGTGACTTGGATGGAGAGTTGTCTCATTGGCACTCATACCACATCTTCTTATATCCAGTTAGAAACTCGTGCCAGTTTGGGATCGGAGAATAAGCTGTGTTCTCCTCCGAAGGAAGTTAGAATTATACCTATATGGTCTAAATACTCGTATTGTCTGGTCCGTTATAACCAAACTAGTATTATACTCATATGGTCGGACCTTATGGGTATACGCATCTGTTCACGACCATACGCGTATGTTCCAAATACTCATATGGTCCGGAACATTACGATTTAAGAAGTAATTAATATCTTGCTTTAAGATGAGATATAATCAGTATTATGCAAAAAACTTTACTTGACAAAATTGAAAGTATGAAAGCGTTGTGTTGTAGAATTTTAAGGGAAACGGGTGTGTGGAGAACCACCTCATATTGTAAACACCAACAAGACCGATGAATTAAGTATAAAATAAAGTCACATAGGCTTATTTAATTTGAAAGAAATATCCATTCTATGAGGAGATGGCGTTTAATTAAATGCTTTTATTCACTACACAGTCACATCTAATCTGGTCATTTATTATATTCAATAATGTCATATCTTCGGAGAGTACTATGCACTTGACCTTCCACGTTGAAGAACCTTGCAGCAATATGTGTGGTCTGACATGTAGGTGTTTATTTTGCAAAGTAAAATGTCTGACTCTGCACAGCTAGTCTTCTTTTTCACTGGCTCTGGTCGAACCTATGTACCGACAGAAGTAACAGAATTGATCAATTGTTATTTTTTTATCAGTCATATATGCTTTGAATATCTACCCGAGAAATAGATTACCTAAGTTGTATTTGGCAAATCTTTTCAGAATGTTGGGTCCTCTGCTCTACTACTACGTACTTTATCTGGCCTTTCAACTTGTTTGATTTGAGCGTCACTGATAAGTCTTTTGTAGAAGGAACGCGAGTCTGGCATATAAAATTATAAGCCTGGTATCTTTGATAAGTTTATTTAATATTGGTCGATAGAAAACACATGCTAGTTACTTCAAGCAATACTAAGGTAAGATTAAAATCTATCTTTAATTCGTCAACCATCAGATCTTGGGATCATCGGAGTAAACAGATGGTCCGACTTACTAATTTGTCTTTCTCCGACTTATGATTTTTGTTTGGTCCTTGGTATCTTGTTTTTTGTTGTTTTTTAAATAACTCTTCGCTGGTTTTGTAGTATATGAGAATTTCTTATTGGTATAAACAATTACAACTTCTGCTACACGATATCTGTTTTATTTCGTATTTCAACCGGATTGATTGTTGCTTGCTTGCATAACGTCCAGTGGCAGTTATTTCATGTACATTCATAAATAAGTAATACAAAAGTTAGTTTATATGCAAGGTGGACGACGGGATAACGTGTGGGAAGTTTAAACTGCCTCTGAAAACAATGGAAGTTTATCCTTACAACAGGCCACTTACGGACCCCTCTGAGAGTTGAAGTAAAGGTTATGCAACTTGCAGAAAGCGTTGCACACTCTCTCTTTTTACAAGGCATCGGATTAAACGTCCCAATTCTGACGGGACGTAACTGAGATTTTATACATACCACACAGCCAAACGGACGGCCCACTTTGGCAGGGGTTTTATTACCGGTCTGGGGAAGACCCAAGGTGACCCTATTCCCATAACCAAGTCACTCTTAGGGTTTCGTCAGTTTTTCAGATTTTATTTTTGAAATCTATTCTTAGACTCATTGCATACATCTAGTTGTTACATTATGTTTTCTTTTCAATGTAAATTAGATTTTTTGAAGGATTAAATCGTCTTCAAATACCCAACAGTTTAACATTTTTAACATATTTTATAAGACTATTGACTGGTTTTAAAGTTTTAATTTTACTCTTCGTGTATAACACACCTTTTGTCAATGGTAAATACTAAGAAGTAACGAATGAAAAGAATTTACTTCCTTGTGAGGGATTGGTATTTACCTGTAGTAAGTGTATCGTTTAGACGAATGGATTTGTATTTTCATTCATTTCAAAACACATGTAAGTTTTTAATTGACATCAGACACGGATTTTAAACATTTAAACATCACAACACATTTACACAGGCTGGGAAGTGTGACAATGTATTAGTCCCAAATACAAATATAATCTGTCGCTATATTTTTAAATGTAACGTCTTAGGTTCATCATAATCTTTTCGCAAAATGGATTTGTTTTCAAAAACGATTGAAACCAGTTTTAATGCATGGTAGATCCTAGATAAAATTTAAATGCATTTTATGTTTGTAAGACATGTGTAACCTAACATGTTTATATTTTGTGTCTTTATTGTCATTTCATTCTAACTAACCATTGTTAATCAAAGATTTAAATTTTGTTTAATATGTGTTTATGAGGGTTTGAATGAAGTTTACAAAATTAAGAATAATGAGTAAAAAAGTACAGAATGGCAGAAAAATAACGAATAGAGAAAGTAAGGCAAAAAAATTAAGAACAGAGTATAATGGGGTGCTAACATATAAAGAATATTGGGCAATGGGCCAAAAATTGAAAAAATAGAGAAAAATGGCCTACAATATTAAAGAATAATGACATGAAGACTCCAAACCCACGATCCAGACAATCAAGGGTCTCTAAAAAACACCGCAAAGGATCTCATTTGTGCACACGGGAGCACAATGTAGCACAAAGGAGCAAGAGAATAATCTAATTTCTGTTTAAAAAAAAGTTAAAACAAAAATTGCGATTTTTTAATATGTAAGATTTTAGGTTATCACCGGTATCGGTTCGTAACCGACTTTATATCCGGGTTATGTGATAGCTCGTAGCTGTGAATTTATAAATAGTAATCATATGATATAAATGATAAAAATGTCAATTATCATTATTCATTTTTTGTTGTAATTTTTTTTAAGATGGAGCATTTACCAAAACTACGAAAATTATATAAAGAAACCGATATTTGCTGTTTATTTTTTTTATCTCTTATACTTTGTTTTCTTATGTTTGGTAATATATTTTAGTGATGTAAGAATACTTGTATTATTACAAAAAAGTTAAAACTTTATATTTTCAATTGACACTGAAATAAATATATATAGGTTTCAACAATAAAATTTAAAATTTAGGATTTGTCCTCACTGCAGCTGACCTTGGCCGATGGCCTTGCCTAGCCTTCTTGGCCAGATGTTTAACTTTAGATATGGCAAAACCATTTGCAGCTCTTATCATATTGTCATTGAACTTCTTGTCAGTGGCAAGCTTTCTGTAAAGCACTTCTTTTTCGAATTTGGAAATGCTGTGCCATTTCGAATATTGAATTTTGTGCTTTTTTAAGTTACCAAAAAGTTCGTAGTTGCCGTTGCCATTTATACTTCGTTTAACATCTGTGTGATGAACTTGAATGACATTATAAATTTTCTCAAGCAGTTCTGATAATTTGTGGGGTTTCCAGTAAAGAGCTACTTTAAAGCAGTGGTTCATCGACTCACAGTTGTTGTTTGTCCAGAGTCTGTAAGAGTCATATTTACGGTAGGGTTGATTCACATAATTGAACAAACGGTTTTAAGTCTCATTTCGTAATCATTTGCAAAGCACGGAAAGCTGTTGCAAAGTTCATTGGACTTGGTGTCATCAGCTGTTGCTATGCCCGGGTGTCGTTGAATAAGTCGGACATAATCATAATTTCACAAGACGCAAAAAGGAACTGGTATTAAAGTATCTGAGTGTCTTTGAATAGGGGTGTCGGAAGCTAGACATGAATATTGATGATCCGTAGTTCGGAAATGTCAGTATACACTTCGTTTTATCAAATTTTAGTCTGCACAAAAACAAAGTATGTACCGAAATTTTCTTACTTTACGAATCTTATATTGCTATGAAGAAAACGTTTTACAAGACGCAAAATGGAACGGTATGGCAGTAATTTTAAAACTATGAAATAAGTTTGAATTTTTTAATTCGTTTTTCAGAAATGTCAGTATACACTTTGTTTTATCAAATTTTATTCTGGACAAAATCAAAAGTATCTAAAAGGTAACTCGCCTTTCTAGGTGTCGGATGTGAAATTTCGTAAACATTTACCTCTAATAAAGAGAAGCAAATATTGTATGTCTTTGTGAACACTAAAACATTATCTCTTTTTTATTGGCAAGTAGTGATATCAATTTTTTTTTAAGTGCGTTGGTTATATTAAGAAGGTTAGATGAGACCCCCTTGGTTGTATGTTACACAACAGATTATTTTTATTTCACAAAATAAAATTGTTAGAGTTACTTGATTTTTTCACAATAAAAGATATTCCTTTTTTTGACTTACTGAATAATATGTAATTTCAATATTATCATGGACTTATTAAAATTAAGTTTTCCCCAAAATGCAGAAGAATCCTGTGGGGTATTGGTCAGTAAACAATAGGCTCATGAGAGCCTGATATCGCTCACCTGCAGTTTCAGGCATTTGACTTATTTGTAGATCTTACTTTTCTGAACAATTTTGTCATTTACACTTTCTCTCTTTCTGTGATAATATTAAAGATAATACATAACCCTAAACTGTAAAATTTCTTGAATATTAACTATTTCTGGACAATAACCCAACAATAAGTTGTCCTATTGGTCTGAAGATTACTTGACAGGTAGATCTAAACCTGTTGAATGGTTTTACACTAGTAATTTTTGGGGCCCTTTATAGCTTGCTGTTCGGTGTGAGCCAAGGCTCCGTGTTAAAAACCGTAGTTTGACCTATAATGGTTTACTTTTATAAATTTTGACTTGGATGGAGAGTTGTCTCATTGGCACTCATACTACATCTTCTTATATCTGTTTAACACTTTTACCTATGTCAATTTTGCTCTTACTGCTTTAGTTTTTGAGATGAAAGCCAAAAACATCATTTGACCCCTATTTTCTATTTTTAGAAACTGCTGCCATGTTTTTGAATTGATCAAATCCCCAATTACAATATATAAACTAAAAACCTAAGGAAAATTCAACGTAAGTTTTTAAGTATTTGGCCAAGTAGTTTCAGAGAAGAAGATTTTTGAAAAAGTAATTAGAATTACACAAAAAATGTATAAAAAAAAACGTTTTAAGGGCAATATCTCCTTAAGGGGTCAATTGACTATTTTGATGATGTTGACTTGTTTGTAGATCTTACTTAGCTGAACATTTATTGCCATTTATACTTTCTCTGTATCATAATATTAAAAAATATAACCAAAACAGTAAACATTAATAAAAATAAACTATTTCCAACAGTAACCCTACAATGGGTTGTCAACTTGTCTGAAAATTTCATAACAGATAGATCATAACCCATTTATCACCGTAACTCCTTTCACTTTTGCTCTAACTGCTGTAGTTTTTGAGATATAAGCTTTTGTCCACTATGTTCTATTATTAGCCATGGCGGCCATGTTTGTTGATTGATCAAAACTTCGGATACAATTTACAAACTAGATACCCTTAGGACGTTCAGTTAAAGTTTGGAAGTATTTGGCTCAGTAGTTTCAGAGAAGAAGATTTTTTAAAAAGTAATAGACTTGCACGAAAAAATGTAAAAAAATAAACGTTTCAAGGGCAATAACTCCTTAAGGAGTCAATTGACTATTTTGATCATTTGACTTATTTGTATATCCTACCTAGCTGAACATTTTTGCCATTTACACTTTCTCTCTATCTATTATAATATTAAAGATAATAACCAAAAACAGTAAAATTTCATAAAAATAAACTATTTCGGACAGTAACCCTACAATGGGTGGTCCAATTGGTCTGAAAATTTCATAGCAGATAGATTTTGAACTTTTCATCACTTTTGCTCTAACTGCTATAGTTTTTGAGATAAAAGCTAAAAACTGCATTTGACCCCTATGTTCTATTTTTAGCCATGGCGGCCATGTTGTTAATGGATCAAAACTTTGGATACAATTTGTAAACCAGTTACCCTAAGGATACATTCAGTTAAAGTTTAGAAGTATAAGGCCAAGCAGTTACAGAGGAGAAGATTTTAAATTGTTAGCAAACATTATGAAAAAAATGTGTAAAATTGTATTTAAAGGGCAATAACTCCTTAAGGGGTCAATTGACAATTTTAGTCATGTTAACTTTTTTGTAGATCTTACTTTGCTGAACATTTTTTCTGTTTACAGTTTATCTTTATCTATAATGATATTCAAGATAATAACCAAAAACTGCAAAATGTTCTAAAAAGTACAAATTTAGTGGAAGTTGGGTTGTTAGATTCATCTGAAAATTTCCGGGCTGATAAAACTTGACCTAATGAACATTTTTACCCTGTCAGATTTGCTGTAAATGCTTTAGTTTTTGAGATATAAGCCAAAAACTGCATTTGACCCCTATGTTCTATTTTTAGCCATGGCGGCCATGTTTGTTGATGGATCACAAATTCGGATACAATTTATAAACTAGATACCCTAAGAAACATTCAGTTAAAGTTTGAAGATATTTGGCCCGGTAGTTTCAGAGGAGAAGATTCTTGAAATAGTTTACGACGACGACGGACGCCAAGTGATGGCAAAAGCTCAAATGTCCTTTTTTTTAAACCGTTTAATGTCTATTAAAAAAAGCGGAAATGTCCATTTAAAAAGGCGCGAATGTTCTATCAAAAAGCGCAAACGTCCCACATCGTGCAAAATATTGTTAATAAAACCAAATATGTGCATTGGATTTGATACTGTCCATCAATTACACTGTTATTTACGGTGGCAGAATGAGGCCATGCAAGATATTTTTATACGACCGCAAAGTCGGTCGTATATTGGTATCACGTCGTCGTCGTCGTCGTCCGAAGACAGTTGGTTTCCGGATAATAACTTTAGTATAAGTAACAAATAGAAATCTATGAAATTTAAACAAAAGGTTTATAACAACAAAAGGGAGGTCGGGATTGATTTTGGGGGTTATGGTCCCAACAGTTTAGGAATTAGGGGCCCGAATAAGCATGTTTGTAGTTTCCAGACAATAACTTTTGTTTAAGTGTATGAATCTCTCTGAAATTATACAACAAGTTTCCATACT